TCGTCCCTCGCTCATATGCAAGTTTACCCACGCGGTTGCGAGCAATATATTTCGCGGCGCGTACACTTGTGAATGTACGGATTGTACGAGCGCGGCGGTGGGCGCGGTCGCGGAATCGGTCATAAGTGACGCGGTTTGCGAATCCGCGGAGGCTGGAGCGCTCGAGTTTTGAGGATCACTGCTACCAGTGTAATCGCGGTGGAGCAGTGAGTGATGCGGTCGTTGGCAGTGCGTGCAGCGCGCCTTGCTCGGGCACACCGGCGTATAATGACCTCGTTTGAAGCAATTATGACATAATCGTAATTGGATTTTATTACATTGTATCGATTATCGATCGACTGCCGAGCGAAAACTTTACACTTATACAGCGGATGATTCTCTGGACACATTACGCATTTCGAAGTCGCGACATTATTCACCGACCCGGTGACCTTAGAATTTCGAGCCGACGCTGTCGAGGCTTCGGGAGAAGCGGGACACTCAATAAGACCGCGAGTTCGCACAGTTAGGAACTCGTACAAATCCTGATATGTAGGAAGCGAGTCAATCTTCCCGCGTTTTAAATTCCATTCATTTCGAGTGCAAGCACTGAATTTCTGCGTGATGATATAAATCAACAAATCATCCCACGTCTCCACGTCGCAACCGAGGCCCCTCAAAGCGGCGAGTGAGGCGACGACGGTGTCGCGTAATTTCTTAAGTTCGACCGCATTTTCGGATCGCATGATTGGAAGAGTCGCGAATTCGCGAATGTGCGCTTGTATGATGGCGTATTTATTATCAAACTCGTCCGAGAGCAGTTGCCACGCCGCCGTGTAATTCTCATCGGTAATTTGAAAGTTGCCGATTAAACGAGCGGCGTCACCGGTGACGCTCGTCTTGAGGTAAGGCAATTTTTGCGTGTTTGTTAGTGATTCGTTTGCGGCAATGAGGGATTCAAAGATTCCCCGAAAATTTTCCCACTCGGTAAGTTTGCCCGCGAATTTCGGATTACAATGCGGGGCAACTGCACCGGATGCGCAGCGCTCGTCTCCCGAAAAGAGCTATCGGTACTCCTATCAACCGCGGAAACTTGTGGTTTACTTAGCTGTCCAATGGTAACACTCATGA